TTTTTATAAATTTTTATGTATTTTGAATTTCAATAATATTTCAGCTGCATTATTTACAACATTGAAAACAGCTGTGTATGGTGCACCAAGGTGTCAGCAATGATGCACAGCTTTTGGATTTTGGATATGTTGCTGTGACTACTTTTTATTTTTATTTTGAATTTTAATAATATTTCAGCTGTATTACACCCGGCACTAAAAACAATTGTGTATGGTGCAGTGAGGTTTCAGCAACCATACACAACTTTTGAATTTTGAATGTACTGCAATAATTACTTTATATTAATATTTGTATTTTAACCTTCAAAAGTATTTCAGCTGTATTAATTGCAGTGAATGCTGCACTTTGAATCTAAGCAGTATTTTAAATGTTCAACATCTAAAATGTCGAAATTGAAAATGGAAAAATAACTTAAGTCTGACTCACTGAGTTTTTGATAGATTTAAAAAAGTTTTGAGTTGCAATTTGATCCACTTAAATAAGACGTTTTCTTTTCTACACTCTCATTTTTTAAACTAATATTTTAGATGGTTAAGGATCTATTGAACCTTCAAGACTGCTAATCGATTACTGAACCTCCGTCATCAAGCTAACTAGCTATATCAGTATACAGGTAAGATCGGTTTTTACAGGTAAGGTATGCTCAATACTATTAGGACAATTATTGGCAAGTACATTTTAGTTACAGGTTTATTCAAAGTCCTTTCTCTAAATTAAAGTGGTGTGTATTTCTAACCATAATTTAGAGCAAATAACACAATTAATCAGATGTGCATGGACACAGTGTTTATGGAGCTATTGACGTTTTATTGTCTGGCTGTGTCTATTGTTAGCATGAACAATTAAAATATGTATTTAAATGCACTGAAACGCTTTGGAGGAAAACAGAGGCGTGTGCATGGATGTAGGTGTGGTCTAGAATGATTTTCCTTCCGACTGAAAAAACTTGTCTCAGTTCTATGGTATTAACACAAAATAGCGGTACGTTAAATGTCACCCAAACTGCAAAAGAACAGGTGTGCATCACTCTCTGTGGTCGTACTGTCATGAATGTGTAAGTCTTCGCTGACTACCGTAGTCCGATCAAATGTTATTAGCGCCGAAAAGACGAATATCGAAAATAAAACTAACTTTACCGTGGTAGACTAATTACTGTGCTGTGTAACTTAATGCAGTTTATTTATTTCAGCAACAAATGTTTCAAATCTATTTACAGAACTTAGCGAGACTGATGAGGATATGGGATATAAATACACCTTAAAAATCACTTAAGTCTGAACAACAAAATGTGTCTGCATGTACGGTAATTAAATCAGAAATGGCGCAGTAAATCTAACTTCTGTTACTCGGAATAACAGTTAAAAACGGAGCCAAAGCTAGCTAGCATAGCCCACGTAGTGTATTAAACCATCTGCTAACAACACATTTTATACTTTAAAACGTGTTTAATTACAATTCCTTTTACAAACAACATGGTAATTCGCTTACCGCGAGTAATAGGACGAAAGAACGGTACAAAAACAAACGAATTAAGCCCATCTAAGCCCCGCAGAGGAGCGTCGACTGAAGACGTCATGATTTCGACATGCGCAATGAGGGGGGAACAGGGGGAACTGAATTTACCGTAACACCGGACGGCCAATTAGCACAATCAGTTATTAAAGAAATAAAAGTTACCGAAAGCAGTCCGTGCAAGATAGATTAATCTATGTCTGAGGATTATAACAAAACAAATTTGGTGAAAATCGATTGAGCAACAAGGAAGTTGTGGCCGATTTAATCCTGAGAACTCTTCATCTCTCAGTACAAGTGAATTTGTTCACAAGCGTATCTTGACCGCTCCATCATGGCGCCGCGCAGACGTATCGCCTCACTTAGAGAATAACAGGCAACGCGGCATCTAGGTATGTATGTGTATGGGACTCCAACCCATCAAGCCCTAAACTTCCGTGTCCGCGATATTTTCAGTAAACCACATGTCTTTGGCTAACCAGTCTAATGGAGACTGCAAGGAAGTCATTAAGTACCATAACTGTCTGATTTATTGACTACCCAATTAATTCTCATACTGGATTTTTTAAAAATTTACTACAGCTATTCGGTTCTTGTGTGTGAATGTACATGTCTGTCTGTCTGCCCTGCAATGGACTGACGAACTGTCCATGGTGAATCCTGACTTCCGCCCAATGACTGCTGGGATAGGCTCCAGCTCCCCCCGCCACCCAGAAGGATAAGCGGCTTAGAAAATGTGTGTGCGCGTGCGCGTGTGTGTATTTGGTTATTAGATCTCCACTAAGTACAAATCTAAAACAAAATCTAAATGAGTAAAATAGTTAGTCTACAGTGTCCCTTTTCTTATTTGGTCCAAAAGGGCTAAATGTTTTTTATTATTATTTTAAATTTAAAATTTATTTGAATAAAAAAATGTTCTACTCATCTCGTTTCGATTATCTCATTAACTGATAAAATTGGCCAGTATCTTAACAAATTCACATCAACATTTTAATTGCTATCCACTACACACAAAAATACACAAAAAAGTGTATATTGTATAGGATAATTCAATTTTAAATTGAAAAATTTTGAATTGAATTCTATAGCAGAACAATGCAACATTTTCCTTAAATCCTCTCTTTCTTTCTTTCTTCCACTCACATCTGCACATATGCACATGCATGACCACTACAATCACGCTGTAGATATACACACTTTGCCAGGGCTGGCCTAAAGTGCAGCCCGCAGGCCAAAGTTAGCCCTTAAGGTAGTTTGAGTTGGCCCACCAGAAAATTATCCTAACCCTATCGCCTCATCCAAGGAGAGAACAAACATGTAAACATATATTATTATATTCATCACATTATTCAATAATTTATTTCTGAAGCATTTTAGTAACGAATTGTATAAAGCATTATAGTGTGATGCTCTATAATACATTTAACTTGATCCAAAATCTACCAACTTTCTTTATAGACAAACATACTTTGGTCTCCTGAAACAAAAGTATTGGACATTCCTGCTCTACACAGTACTTCATTTTTTCTCTCATCCCTACATGCTCCATATTTCCTACACAACTGATGGTTGTATGAGCCCCTTCTGATTATTTATAAACACTTGTATAGAAATACAATAAGTTACACCCACAATAGAAAGCGACCACCATAGGAATGCTGCTGTCCATATATTATTTGAGGTCGTGGACCATTTGGGGGGTGTGGCCACTGACGAAACTGAATATTGATGAAGGTCTTGAGGATGGCTAGCACATTAGATTGCATGGAAAAAAAGACACTATATAATTACAAGATGTACGAAGAAGGTAGATGTGTCTAATAAAGTGGCCAATAAGCCTACACTGCCTAAAGTCTGAGACCCTTGCTATATTTTAAATTTAAAGTGGCACACCAAAGAAAAAAAATTTAGTCTCCTGGTAGTCAGTTCTAGAACTCTCTTACTGTCCACCTGCTTTTGGCTGCAACACCCACCTTGTCAAACATTAAAAGACACATCTAGGGCAACAGCAGTGAGGAACCATTAAATTATAACATATTAAAAATTGTTACACAGTTAGTGCAACCCTCAGGAATATGCTCCTTCTTTATTTGGCCTGGATCTATCGTCTGTAATATTTAGCTGGATTTCACCACACGTTCCCCCATCGTTCAGTAATTTGCCCCAATGAAGAAAATGCAAGAGACACTGTGCATCTAGACCAACCATTGCTTCTAAAAACATTACATCAGCAAAACTGTAAAAAACAATTAGCATGAACAGTATTCCTTTTAATAGCCCTGGTGGAAGTAACATCTGGAAACAAGAAACATGACATCACTACCACCACCAACCACAACTAAACAAATGAACACATTCACTCCAGTTAAATACATTTAGCAGTTACTAACACAAAAGGTACCATAATGGCAATGTTTCAAATCAATTCATTTATTTTGAACAAATGAGTCATGTTGAACACTGAACAAAAATACTGATCAAATGATCAGATCAAAATAATTTGGCCTCTGATTTTATTGCAAATTCGCAGTACCCTTCAACAAGGGCTGAGCTCATTAGATGGCCACTGCTTCAAACACAACACATATCCCTGCAATATCTGACATGTTTTTAAGAAATTATGTTGGTTTTTCAGCAAGTGAAGCTAGCGGAAGCCATTCAAAAATTTTTTTGACATCAAAGGCACATTGGTAGGACGAAGGTAGCGGAGCACAGTGTTTACAAGTCAGCAGCAAATTAACTTCACCACCTTCACAAAATGTTTTGTTTTCAGAATTAATGGCAAGATATCAAAATTAAACATTTTGGTGGGATGGGATGAAAGGATGGGGAAGGGGGGGGGGACGCACATCCACGGTCTGTCAAAAAGTGTGATGTAACGATCACATCCCGAATGGATCTACTGGTAATTAACCTAAATGATCTGCAAAACAAAGCACCATCTCTTTCATAATAAAAAGCATTTTTTTTACAAAGCATGTTCCTAAACAAACTAACACTTAGGTTTACATGGATTGTAAGAATGCAAAAACTATGTACAGACATGCAGATAATGCACCAATTGTGTGTGGGGTGGGCAGGTTGACATAAAGACATATGCTTTACTAAGGTGGATCAAATTTATGTTTTTTACTTTTTTTGTCCAGTAAGGCGATCAACATCTAATGTAACGGAAAGTATAAAAGACTTTTCATATTTTGTAATGTCAAAGAAAACTTAAAATAGATTGCCCTTGTCTCCTAAAAATCATGTACATAAGTGAAAAACTAAGAAAAATGTAAAGAATAAGGTATGGAATGTTTATAGCTACCATAATTAGCACACAAGAGAGAAAAATGTATACACCTCTTGTACCTCACAAATAACAGGACTAATGTGTGACAAATGTGTGTCAAAAATCGATAAGCCTCAATGGTCACTTGCACATCTTAGCTGATAAACCTTCTGTTAGGAAAAAAGGAAAACAAAAGTCAAATAAATAGATGCATACAAGATAAAAAAAAGTATAATTTATTCTGTCACATAAAGCTCTTTGCAACTGCCAAACAAGTTTTCGTCTTGCTTTCACAACCCTATCTGCACTGCTTAGTGCTTGCTCTGACTCCTCCTATACACACATTGTGCAGTAACTCGCCCAGAAAATATCACTGAGCTATTATTTACAACTCTTCTTTGCAAATTATTGTTGGTAGCAGCACATTACAAACAGGACATATTTTATCTTTTTATTAAAAAAGCCCCCTTTTTCATGTGACCTAACAGAAAACGTATGCAAGTCTGGAAAATTAAGGACAGAAAAATCTGTCACTAAACTCACAGTGGGGGTGATAAACTTTATGTAAAGCCATCACAGCTGCTGTTTTCTCAGTCTAGGTAGACATATGGCAGGATATTTAATTTGGTCTCATCACCATGAGAATCCAAAGATATACACTCTGTCCAATCATACCAGTTGTCCTTGGTATCATAACAACCATTTACCCCTGGCCAGTGCTCCATATGTATTCTGTGTAGGTCCTCAAGCATCACCTCTCGACTCACCCCAGGGAGTTCCGAGTTAGAGTCACTTGGTACTAAAACATGTGTCTTTCTGGGTTCCCGAACATCACCCTCTTCTCGTTTCAAATATTCAGTCATGAAAAAATGTGCTCCATGGGTCTGTGCTCCAGACGAAGTTAGAACATTGCTCTGAAGGCTAAGGTAAGATTGAATGATTTCATTTCTGGACAGCTCTTTCCAGTTTGTCTGCTGGAAAGGACTGGGTGCTGTTACAGATTGCCTCTGCTGAGGTAACTCAGTCCTTGCAGTTTCAAAAATAGGTGGTCTCTGGCACTCCTCGTCATGGTGAGATTCCTTTGGAGTGAGGGGCTTGATCTGTCCGGTCACTGGGTCAAATGTCAATCTTCGTTCTTTTAATCGCACAGGCTTTGTCCTGTCCTCTGAGGACTGCCCTTGAAGATTTACTGTATAGTCTCTGGACCTGTACTTCTTTCTTTTTTTGTTAGAGGTTACTCCTTCTGGCCCATCCTTAGTAGCCTCAGATGAGAAACTGTGCCTGTGCAGCCCTGAAGGCTCATGTGTTGTACTGCTGTGCAGGGACTGAGAGGTTCTCTCTGTTGATCTGTGTAAGGACACACATTCCTCCAGCTCAAGGGGTGAGTGACCGTCGGCATGAGACACTTGCGTTGGGGATGTTAAAGGCAGAAGAGAGGGCACTTGGGCAGAATTCTGAGATGGGCTCAGGAGAGTTCCTTTTGGTGCATATGCTGAAGACCTCTTAGTCACTGTATCTTGTGTGACGTTACATGGACTTAATGATGAGATTTGGGGGCTACTGGGTTGATGTTTCTCAGCTCCATCTCCAACTATTCTTGCTTGCTGCTGTAACACTGAAGTTTTAAGTAAGGAGGAAGTGCTAGGAAGCTTGGTAAGGCCAGGGGAGCTTGGATGAGGCTTAACAGCATTGATAGGGATTTTGTTTTGTCTGTCGTTCTCAAGATGCTCTGGTTGGTTACTATCAGAAGGTGTATCATCTTGGTTTTCCAGGAGAGCCTCAGGGCTGCCACTAACACCATTTAACAGTGGGGTAGAAGAAAACATATTTCCAGGTGTGAATGTTTTATACATTTTAGTTGGCAGATTCTGACTATCCCTTTGGTCCCTGTGTTTTCGGGTTTTTGATTTTTCTGCCATAGGTGAGTAAGTATTATGGATGTCATGTCTGATTTTAAGTTCTGGAGCAATCTTAGCTGATTGTGGTGCAGATAGATCTGTGCGGCAGAGATGAGAACCACCATTGGCAGATCCTGGGCCACCTTGCAGTCCTCGAGATAGAGTGTCACTCTGGCTAGGCTCAATTAACTTTTGCCAGTTTCGAAGGAGTTTCTTGGCACGCTTTGCAAGTTCTTCATCCTTTGTCTTTTTCCTTACATCATTTATAAGTTTTCCTAGGCGAGTTTCCTGTATTGAAAAGAACATCTGTTATTATTCAAAGCATTTAGGTCTCTATGCAAAGCTGTGTTTGACCAATACGACTACTTTACGGTACAGTACTATGAAATCATAGCACATTCATGCCACTCTATTATGGCTACTCTGAAAGATGTCTGTTCATAGTGTACACCACTATACATAGATACTGGTAGTCAAAGGTATCAGTTCATTGGCTGACTTATTTTTGGGACATTACTCTTCTGGAATGTACAGTGGCCAGGATAAATAAGGCCAAAATAAGAACAGCTGTATCCTGGTCAAATACTGAGAAAGAATAATTAAAGATTATGAGCGCTTAGTGATTTCTGTTAACTGATATGAGTGTGAAAAATCTTTTACACTGCATTCATTCATTTTTTTTTTTAATGCGTATGTCTTCTCCATTTATGTCAGTGCACCACTGACCATCACTACTATCATCAGTATTGTTACTATTACTGGTAACTGATAGTAACCATTAACTCCATACTATATTGTGAGGAACGCTGTGGGCATATCTTTAGCTTTGTAAACAAAGTTCTTGTGATCTATATGTTTAAATAAAATTAATAAAATATTGATCACAAAAAAGATCTGATCATTCAATTATAACTACCACAAAAACCAGTCCTGAGTGTCACATTTTGCACAAAAAAATGAAATGATTTTACTTTAGCGTTAATTGGCAACATAAAGTAGTTGGATTTAAAGGGGTGCAAAAACCTGGATCTGGACATCCTTAATTAGAATTTTGATGCAGTTAACTGCAATAGCTACAACCATTTTCTAGTTTGTGCCTGTCACTTCACCATATAAAGTTATCTAGTATTTTAGGTGGCAATATGCAGCTTTTATTCTTTGGATGTGGAAGAGGTCGCCTATGCGAGGGTTTCTCAACATATAGTGCAGGCCCCCACAGGCCACACAGAGGGAGGCAGTAATTTGTAGTGGGCCAGCAACATCACGGTAGGTCATAAAACATAAGCAAGAAAAAGATTGAATCAATAATTAAAAATCTATAAATTATAAATGTAAATAGAAACATACAAATATAAACGTCGCAGTAGTTGGCTAATTAAACGTCATCTGTTTGAGGCAACGCACCCACAGGTGTGCGAAGCAGATAGCTAACCAGAGATGGAGAAGATTCTCAGGGCGCTTTGTTTGGTGTGGACACCTTTTTCTTTAGTTTGCTCCATTTTGACGTGTGTGAACACTCTGGGTCTGCAACACACAGCTGAACCAGTCCAGCTAAAATCTGCGGTATGCTTCCAAACAAAATCCGGGTCAGTTCACTGCTGATGGAAACACATTCTGTGATCAAACGAGGGAATTCATCAATTCTTTCTCTTCTAGCAACAACGGCACAGTACTGTCAGCATAACAATTGTTTTAACGACTGACTCTTCATAGACTCTCAGCACGAGCTGCTGTTAAAAACAGACATAAAATAATAGCAAAGAGGTGTTTGATTTCAACTCACAGATCACGTAGCGTATATATGGACGGACATTAGCGACCTGAGTTAAATTTAAATTGCAAACCAATGACAAAGAAGCAGCCATCAAGTAAGATTTATCATTGTTGATTGTGACGACACTAATTCAAAAGCCCGGTGAATGAAATGTGGTTTATTTCAAATTAATCACAAAAACCTGCAAAACTAAAAAGTCATCCAGAGACCAAAGTGGAAAGCAAGTAGAGTAGTGAAAATGGGAGGGACTGGAACTCCAAATGACAGTCCACATCTACCTCGTACATTTCTAGCCCGCCCCCCGCCCCACGCTTTTTCCACAGGGAGCTAAATGAGTTGGCTGAATGTGGCAATGTAACTGTATAGCGTTAAGATGTTTACATTATTACCAACCTCAAGTGCTTCTTTGGTGATTGGGTATTTCTCCAAATTGCTGATAACGTCAAGTACTGCAACCATGTTACAGATCTGTTTGGGAAAAATGACCAACACATTAACTCTTGATAATACTGAAACATACATGCATGTACAAAGATTTTTTTTTAATAAAACTACATTTTGCTATAATTTATGTATTTATTACTTCCAATAATTCAATGACATTATTTCCATGTATCATACTTTCATTAAATGTATTGCATTACATTTTGCTATAACTATCAATGTATCTATTACTTCCAATAATTCAATAAAATTTATTATGTGAATGCAGCATTCTACTGAAACCTGAAAATCATGCGATTTCCACAGGGTGAACGCAGTTTCCGATGTTGATCACGGACATCCAGCTAGAGCAACAGTGGCTGCATGTTTTAAACATTGAGGGTACACGTTATGTATACAATCAATGGTTCCAACTTCACAACTGCAGCCCTCTTGCTCTCATTGTAGTCCACATAGCTTGCGTATTCTTGTTACAGTGGATGCTCTCGAGGGTTAATGTAGCTTTCCACTTTGATATTGCTTTTGTTAGTCTGCTGCTCATTGATTTATTCATAGGTCTCTCACAAGCACTGTCCAGCGTAGTCTGTCGAAGCCATATAAAAGCTGTATTTCAACAAGAGTGCTACAGTTGCACATTCTATCATAAGATACAGCACACAGGGAACTGGGCTTCAGCCTGGACTACTACAAACGGTTGGAATGGTCAAACTATGAAAACGCAACAGTAAAAAATTTGTGACATGAATCCATGGAGTATAATAAATAATTAAAAGAAAACAAGACAGTACTGAGGGAAAAATAAAATATAATCAAAGATTTGAAGACAATGTGAAAGATTAATACCTACACACACTCAAAGTCTGAGGAAATATATAATCAACTATTATTTAAGTTATAATAAATAATGATATGAACAGTTGTATATGTGTGTATTTCCGTGCCCATCTGCAAATACTGGATACAGAGTTCATGTAATTAACCCACTCATCAGTGAACATCTGGATGCCGCCAAAACAAACTTTCGAAAAGGACCATGACTGCATGATATCCAATGGAAATATTGAGAAATTTACATTTTTCTTCAAACCTAAAAACAGTATCTTGAGTCTTGTCTATTACATTTAAACTAAAACAAAAAAATGTAAGAGAAACAGTAAGCAGTACAGAGTAGTCCAACGTGTTAAAATTATAAGTTTACTTCACCACAAAAAAATCTTACTTCCGACTGTTCTTCGCTAACAATTTTCATGTGTTAGGTCAAATAAATGGTTAATCAGCTTGCTTAACCACTGTGTCATTAATATCTTACATAATCATGTGGTTTGCATGGGCTCAGCTGCTGGCTTCTGGTCCGATCCATTATCAAACCTGGTTAGCTCTATAAAATCAAAGCATGATTGGCCCACTTTCACAAATTAACTATGCATTAAAAGTATATTCCCCGTTTGTCCAGCACTAAGGCTTAAACTTTGCTGTACCATTGCCAAAAGATGCAAGTAAACTACATCAGTCAATTAAGCTGCTTACAATGTCGAAGTCTAACTACAGGTGGTCACACCACAATGATATTATTCTTTTTCTAAATGATATAATATAAAATGTATGTAATATTTATAGCATCTAAATCCATTAGCCTAAACCTGGTCCCTAAAAAAAATCCTAAAATTATCTTTAAGACAATAAACAAACAAAAATAACTTTTAGCTCTCAGTGACGTTTAATAGCCAGTAAGCCATTTTTAAGAAAAATGGAGTTTTAAAATAAGGGTTCAAAAAGTATAAGTCACTGACAATGTTGGAAGGGCACTCATCAGGCTCAGAGCTTGGATTCAAGCAAAAAACCTAGATATAGACTAAAAACTAGAGAGCTCTGGAGGGGACGGAGGTATAAAATAAAATAAATAAATAAATAAAATAATTAATTCGAGTGAACATTTTGCATGTTTTCTTTTATTCATGGTCACAATTTCTTAATTCATTCCCTTGATTAACAATTTGTTCTCTTCTTTTCTTTTATTCGTGCCCACATTTTCTTTACTTCGTGGGTATGTTTTTTAATTTGTGATAACGATTTTCTAATTCATTCTCTTGTTTTCTTTTAATCGTGGTCATGTTTATTTTTAATTGATGGCACATTGTTTTTTTGATTCGTGCACAAACAAAATGAATGCAGATACAGGCATTTATTGGTCCTGTACAGAAGCAGCTGACATCTCTCTGACACTGTGTGACAGGTTTTGATGTGTTAGATTGGTGAGATAATGGATAGAGATTCTCATTAGGTTTGATATTGGTTTGGCAGGTCATGAAGACACTGTAGCTCCTCTTCACAGCAAACGGCCCATGGATTCGTCAGTGCAGCTGCAGTTTAGTGGTGAAATGAAGGAAAGACAATAAACTTCAACCACAATCAACACTAAACTGCACTTTCTAATGATCATATTTAACAGAGATGATGCCACAGCGCAGCTGCTTAGCCCTGTTTCTGTTCGTGCATCAAACTGCGGTTTTAGAGATCTCACAATTACAGGAAGAAATGATCAGCATCAACGTTTTAACAAACTCAATCACACATAGAAACATTCATGATGAGGTCAAATGGTGAGAGAGTTTAATATATCTATACGTTAGAAGTAGATATATTAACGTGAGGATGTTGCAATGCTGATCATTTCTTCCTGTAATTGTGTGATGATCTCCAGAAACCGGGCTAAGTTGCTTCTAAATCCCTGTTAAATACAATCCTCAGAAAGTGTAATTCAGTGAAGATTGTAGTTGTAGTTTACTGTCTTCCTTATTTCACCACCAAACTGCAGCTGCACACTGCTGTGAAGAGCAGCTACAGTGTCCTCATAACCCCCCTAATCAAAATCAAACTTAATGAGCATCTATGTCCATTATCTCATCAATCTAACACGTCAAAACCCGACAAACAGTCTTGGGGAGCCGTTAGCTACTTCTGTACAGGACAAATAACACAAACTGTATTACTCCATTTATTTTGTTTGTGCACAATCAAAAAAAAACTAACAATGTGTGTTCAATTAAAAAGAAAACATGACCACGATTAAAAGAAAATGAGAATGAATTAGAAGACTGTGATCATGAATTAAAAAAAAAAGTACCCACGAAGTGCAGAAAACAAACACACAATTAAAAGAAAACGAGAACAAACTGTTAATCGTGACCACGAATAAAAGAAAATGTTCGTACGAAGTGCAAAACGTTCACTCAAGCTGCAGCTGTTCACACAAATGAAAATGATTGGGCATTAGGTATAACTTTATTAAATGTAAAACAATACATTATGATTTTACAAATAATTTACTGCTTTCTGGAGGCTTGTCTGCATGGATGGCCCACTGAAGCTATAGGTGCACACATTCTAAACGTGTTAAAAGCACTACACAAGCAGTATGGGTCCGCACAGTGCGTCTGCTCCATACACAGAAACCTCACTCTCATCAAACACAAGTGATGTTTCGGGTAGGGCTTGAGCTGCATGCATGAGTCATGTTTGTTTGGCTACAGTGAGTGAAAATATACGACTGAGCACAATGAGCTTTTTTTTGGGTTTGCAGCAGGCCAGCCATACTGGTAATGGAACTGCTGAAATATCTAATATTAGTTGACTGTATGAACATGAAGAGTTGGAGCAGCTGTATTCTTTAAACTGGGGTGCTGAGACAAATTCAGTTTTACTGACTAACACAGAGGGATTCTGTGGTTGGAAACAAGGAAAGCTGACATACCAGTCTTCATAATCCTGAGAACGTAATGGCCAACCATGACATGTAGACTCACGACTGCAATGACTCGTAGCTGGCAATAATCAGTGGTACTTTACACTCTTTACTGCATTTATGTCAGTGCTATTTTATTTCCCTTGATTCACTGCACAGCAAATTCAGATGCAAGGTTTGATGACGAGTTGAAGAGCTGGTTCAGGTGTTTTTAAATTAATAAATGGAAGTAATAAGAGGAAACCATATGGAGCTGTAGGCTGCCAGAAGCAGGGTTAAGAAACACTGATTTAAACAGGTGCAAAGCTGGCCAAGTTAGCCCTTTAGCAGACGCTGCTAGGCTATTTAGCGCTAAGGCTGGGCGCTATGGCCAAAAATGTTATCACGATAAAAAAAAATTCATATCATTTGATATCGATACATATCGCGATAAATGTCAAATCATTATTTCTTTCAAGTTTGAAGGCTGATTCATGCTCCCGAGTGGACACTTGCTGTTTTAAACTATCCTTCATGGTCAACATTTCACCAATCTGTCATGGGATAATGGGAGAAAGTTTTTGGTTAGCTGTTTGTACCAGCTGGAAAAGCACGGCCGCAATTTCTGTAATATTCATAATTTAAGAAAGAAAACATTATTTTTAGCTGTCTGGTAACAACTGCTAAACTGTTTAGTTTCTCAACAACGTCAGCTTAATACGAACATCAAACATTAGCTGGCTCGGCACGTCAATGATGGACCTCACTGCATTACTGCCATTTCTCCTACTATATCTATGTCAGAGTGTATCACAATATTCAAACACAAGCTAGCAGATATCTGGGTCTTTCTATTCAATCATAGTAGTTTGAGGGATGGAAGAACCGCAATATATCTGACGCTCACTGTGTAAAAGCATTAACTAGTGTGAATCTCTCGCACCAGACAAACCTCCTTTTAGGTATGTTTAAACTGAAATTGGTGCTTTTTTTCTTTTTTTCTTGTTTGATCTACAGTAACATTAAATCACCGTGCTGTGCGAGTGACAGAGAGCTGCTTCAAGTTAGCCAGCTGCTAAAAACAGCTAGCCTGGGAAGCTTTCTCCCATTCTCCAGTGCCACACAGCATCTTTAGTTTACTTTCCGTTTAAATGAGAGCAGTGCTCTCTCTTTCACTTTCGTTGCTTGGGAATGTACTACTAAAATATGCATACTAAAATATGACTGCTTGAGCGCTGTAACACCGCACTGTAGTTTAAGAAACAGACGTGATTTAACGCTGCTAAAGCTTGTTAGTATGTTAGAAGTGAGTTTGCTGTAAGCCAGAACAGTTACGCCACTTATCTCGTCACTCACACTTGGTCACAGGAGAACAGATTGCCGATCGCTCCACTTAAACAGGCAATATATAATTCCACGTTTCAGATTTCACTCCTTGACCCCACCCTTCCTAAACATGTCAAAAAACGCCACCAGGGTGTCGTTACAACGAGGAAGTGTGAGAATGCTCTATTATATCGAACATTTACCAAACATTTCTTACATTTTTATCAAAGAAACTCTATCGTGATACTTGTACAGCTTTGTTCAACAAGTATGTTTTCTTAATATACTTCAATTTCCTAAATATATATTTTACACAGGGTGACACAGGACCCACAGCATGTTACATTAATACTGGACATTCCAGCATAATCCTCCAAATTAGTTGGCCGACAGACTTCTAAGACCCGCTCACTGTAAAAATGTGCCAAAAGTCAAAATTAGTTAAAATGAGTAGTAGGGGTAGGAATCTCTAGGCACCTTACGATTCAATTACGATTCAGAGGGCTGCGATGCCATTATAAAACGATTATCTTAATGCATCTTTTTTTTCTATACAGGATTTCTTTTTTTCCCCCTCACTGTGTGACAACTTAGTACTTTTAAAGCAAAGTATTTATAATAGTCCATAACGAATTTACTTCCAATATCTTTTATTAATAATTCAAACGGAAGCATTGTGCCAAATCAACTGGAAGGCTCTCATTTACTGCTCTTGTTTGGAGCACACGAGATGCTAACTCACACTCATCTGTGATAAAATGCGCTGTTGCGGTGACGCAAGATCCAGCGGCATTGGATGTCCATGCATCACGTTACAGCTATCCTACCCGTTTTCTTTAGTGATTTCATAACTTCGGTTTTGAGTTTGTAATTCGCTTCGCCCTTTCCAAGTTGGGTGGAAGCTTTGACATCACTTGCTTGTTGGCAGCAACTACAACCAGGCGGAAAATGGGTGGAAACATGTAATATGGTTTCATGTTTGTTGTGTTTCCAAAATATTTTCTTTTAGTGTGTTTCTTATAGTATGGCTCTTGTCCAGGCTCTTCTCCTGTGTGAAAACAAACCCCCAACGAGTAAATAACCAGTCCTACGTGCGGACTCAATTTTCAAGAATGTGTCAATGATGGATCTCAGTATTCAAACACAAGCTAGTAGACGTTTGGATTTCTCTACACTGTCGTAGTAGTTTGAGGGGTGAAAGTACCGCAATATCTGACGCTTGCAAGCAAAAGCTTTAACTGCAGTGTGATTTTCTCGCACTAGACAAACGTCTACCTTTTAGGTACATTTAAACCAAAATCAGTGCTTCTTTGTTTTCTTTGATCTACAGTAACATCAATTTGCTGTGCAGTGCAAGTGACTGCTTCAGGTTAGCTAGCTGCTAAAAAAAGCTAGCCTGGGAAGTTAGCGTTCTCCCACTCTCCAATGCTACACATACAGGATCTTCAGTTTACTTTCAATTAAATCAGGGCTGTAACTAGCATGAACCCACTTCTTGGTTTCACTTTTGTTGCTTGGGAAAGCACTAATACAAAAAAATATGATTGAGCGCTGTGACACACAGTGCTGTAGTTGTGAGAAGCAGACGTGGATTAACACTGCTAAAGCTTGTTAGGATGTTAGCAGGATAGCAGTGAGTTCACTCTAGGCCAGTGCAGTTGCGCCACTCATCTCATTACTCACACTTAGTCTTAAGAGAACAGATCACCGATCGCTCCACTCAAACAGGAAACATCTAACCCCATGCAGTAAGAAAACACCACCAGGGCTGTCGCTACAACGCAGAAGCGTGAGAATAGTCCATTTTAATTGAACATTTACTGAACATTTCTTATATTTCTATCGAAGAAAGTTACATTGCAATAATTATTATTATCGTTTTATTACAGAGCCCTATCTTAGAGTATTAAACAAATCAGCTGTTTAGTGGCTTCTCGAAATGTTGAGTTTTGTCTAAGCAACATCCAGGAGGCAGAAAGACCACATGAAACAGGACTAAATGCCAAAATGTGGTTTGACAATCAGGACTTTGGCACGCAAGATTTCAAAGCAACATAAACTAGCTAGTAAAGTTCCAAAGAAATGGAAGTGCAGGTGTGTCACTTGCAAAAACTGAAAAATTATCAAGAGAAACAATCTTAAAAATCATGACAACAATCATGACCAATACACACAAA